CCCCCCCTCCCACCACCACCCACCCACCCTGCTGCACACCTCTGCAAGGTTGGATGAGTGGTATGGACACACATGAGTGACAGAAGCACATGACGCACGAATGATGTATGTTCGACATGCAGAAGTGCTTTTCCAACGCCCGGTCAGCTGCATGGTTCTGCTGTGCTGTGCCGTGCCGTGCGAGTGTTGATATGTTCCGATTCGGAGTCATCATGTTTGACTGACCTGACAAGCCCCCTGCCTGTCTGCCTGTCTGTCCCCCTGTCTGCGTGACTTGGCTTGACGTATTGGTGTGTGTGCGACGCCTACTGGCAAGGAGAGAGAGAGATGGATGGACCGATGGATGGATGGATGTGTAGATGTGAAGAGACAGTCGTCACACTCAATTGAATTGATGCGCACGAATCCAATCCATTTCTGAGTGTAGCACTGCGAGAATGCACCCCACCCACTCAGCAGCAAACAAGCACTGAGGGCAGTAAGACACATCCACGTGTTGTATCTCTACATCCGCATCACCATGTGTGTGTCGCCCCGCTACGACACAAGTCGCCGCGCAGATGGCTGCAGATCTTGCAACTCTCGGATCAGCCAGACACAGCACACCAGCAGCCTCCTTACTGACATTCTCGGTTGGGCGCGTGTGTTTCGACATGCGATAGATACGAAATGCCAGACGCAGTCGATGATGTGTTTACCATCAAGCCATCAGTCGCCAAGTGAAGCACAACGCACACACCAGTGGCCTCTCTAGCAGCTGATGGGTCTGATACGTGTCTGATGCTCCAGCGGCTGCCGAAAGCGACCCTCTCATGCAGCCAAAGACGCGCTAAACCAGCGACATCACTCACGCTATCAGCCGCCGTGCCGCAGCTTCGGTGGGATCACACGACTAGCACTCGAAAAGTTTAACTGTAGCTTCACTTCCTACATACAGACAAGACACAGCACAACACAACACTCAGAAAGCGTCGCGATTCGGTGTGGTGTGGGCGCACAAGTCTACTGTGTGCGCACCTCGGGAAAGGGTTTCTTTCTCAGCTCCTTCAAGAGGTTCATGTAGAGCTGCATGATAGTCATCGAGTCGATCTCCGCCCTGGTGATGTTGAAGTGCTGCATGAGGTGCTCTCGCAGGCTCTTGAAGCTCGCTTCTGTGGCCATCTCGCCCTTCTCATACCCTCTCATGCTGTTGATCTGCTCGCTCACGCGGCTGATCTGCTTGCTGAGTCGATTGAGAGCCTTCATCACAGCGCCATCGGCCCCATCACCCCCCTCGCTCAGTAGGGACGAGGGCTCCGCTGTCGAGAAATAGGCTTCCCTGTACTCGGCAATGGTCATCGTCGGATTCTTCTTGATGGAGAAGGTGTGCGGCATCAGCTCAAGCAGCTCGAGGGCCTTGTAGAGATGTGTCGTGTCCCCCTCAGGCAGAGGGACTGCGACGAAGCTCTCGCTGGGCGAACGGAGAGAATCGAGGGGAGCGATGTAGAGGAGGGGGTGGAGAGCTCGGCGGGTGAGGGAGTTGGTGGTGCTGCTCATGTGCCGTTTGCTCTTGGATGTGTGTGGGGACACGCCGTGGAGGACACCACCGAGATGTCCCTCGGCAGTCACCATAGGGGTTCCCGAGTCGCCCGGCATTGAAGTGACGCCCGAGAGCTGCAGCCACATGCGTGGCTGCGACCCGGCGGTCGATGTCCCAGCCGCAGGGCCCATAACGCCAGCCGCTGGCGCCGCCGCGGGAGCCACACACGATGGCACCTCTGAATGGATCTCCGTGACCTCGCCCTTGAAGAATCGCTGTTTGTCGACAGAAAACAGCTCGTGCCGGAGGCTGACATTGTCGGCTGCAATGAGCGGCTTGGCGCGGAGTGCGGCGCGGACGATGTCGTTGTGCTCAATCCTTAGTAGGGCGAGATCTGGGTGTCCATCAGCGAGGTAGCCCTCGTGCATCCACGCCATCTCGACGGCCATCTCCTGCTCTTTGTTGCCGATGTCGGTCATTACCTTCGTCGCGCCAATGGCGACGTGTGCGGCGGTGATCACATAGAGCTCGTCAGTGTTGGTCTTCAGCATCAGCCCCTTGCCGTAATGGTCCTCGTCAGGCTGGAAGACGTCACACAGATTCATCAACTCACTCCGCTGATCCCCCCTACCATTCCTCGAGAGGCAAGACGTCGTCCACGCCTTAATAATCCACGCCTTAATCATCTCAGATACGCCGCACTTTCGCCTCTCGCGCCGTGGGGTCATAGGGTAACAAACCCTTTGACCCCTCGTCAAACCCTCCGGCGCTTTCCGCTCGGTGCGCAGCCCTCCTGACGGCTGTGTGCTGAGATCTGTCTGTCGTTTTTTGGCGTCCACTTTGTCTTAATTGTCAGCTGAGGTCGGCGCCACAGACGCACACACACGTGGCGAGTCAGTCAGGTCAGTGCACGTGAGTGAGGGACGCCTCGAGCATCGCCATGATGTCAGACGGCCGCTCTGTTCTGTGTGCTGTGCTGTGCCGCAGATGTCTGTCTGTCTGTCTGTCTGTCTGTTGAGTGAGTGAGTGGGTGCGGCCGTCCGTCATGACGACAGGCAGACAGACACTGCTGCAGCTGAGGGCGCCGAAGTGGCTTACCGCCGACTGCACTCGAACACCGCAGCAGCGGTGCGCAGGCAGACAGCCACACACACACACACACAGATGGGGTGGACGTGACACACGACAGCACAGAGTCACCGACTGTCTGTCTGTGGTTTGTGTGGCGTTCAGGTGTGGTTGGCTGGCCGGTTTGACGACTGACGATGGCTGCTGAGTGCTGCTTGTCTGTGTGTGTGTGTGTGTGTGATGTGTCGGCCGATGTGTCGACGACTGACTGACTCGACTCACCTGAATCGCTTTGTCTCTCTCGTGGGCTGGCCGCCCTTTGTGTGTCGCGGGGATGTCTTCATTGTAACGTGTGGACTGTGTGTGGTTTTGCGTGTTGGCCGTCTGCTGCCGTGAGTGTGTGGGCCGGTGAGTGGGGGGCGGAGGAAATATGACAGACAGACAGACAGAGAATGTGTGGTGCGGTGTTCGGATTGCCGTCTGTCTGTGAGTGCCCTGTCTGGGACGTCTGCTCGCGAGAGTGTGTTAATCTCCCGTCGGTGCATTCGTCACACACGGGCGGCTCACAGACAGGCAGACAGGCCGACAGACACACACACACACACACTGATCTGTCTGACATCCTGGGCGAGTGTGTTCTGTCTGACATCGTGTCTAATGGGAGAGAGGGGCTGCGTCTGTGACAGTGCGGTTTCCCATCCTGTGTGTGTCCTCCGTCTCTCTCTGTGGGCATCTCATCTGGCGCTCCGAAACCAAAGAGTATCAGCCCTCGTCAGGTGTTGGTGCTTTGGGGTTGCCGGGCGGTGACAGAGATGCCACAGAGGGAAATGGACACACACGACGACACGTGTGAGTGGGTGTGTGGTGCGCTGGTGAGTGTACGCTAAGGGAAGAAGACAGAGAGATGGGATAGGAGCAGAAGTGAGAGAGAGAGGCACAGTGTTCACTGCGTGTCAGTGTGCTGACTGTCAGCGAGCTGAGGGTCATTCTACACAGAGCGTTGATCCTCACTCTCTGTGTGCGGTGACCGTCGAGCGGCTGACAGACACACGCAGACACAAGGGACGGTGTGGCTCATTGGCACGGCCGTCGACTTGATGGCCTAATCGATCGACTGACTGACTGACTGACTGAATGGCCGCAACTTTGTTGCCATTGCCATCACACGGAAAGTAAACAAACCCCACGAGCAGCGTGTTGTGTGGCTGACTGTATCTCTCGCGGGCGGGTTGGGTGTGCCGATAGACTGTGATGACTATGATGTGTTCCATGGCTACCATACACACGAGAGTGTCATTGATCTCTCGTCGATGCATCCGTCACACACGCGCGGCTCATAGACAGACAGGCGGGCCGACACACACACATATTCTCGTTGTTTGTCTGTTCGCCTGGGGTCTCATGAGTGTGTCCTCCCCTCTCTGTCTCCTCTGTGGGCATCGCTGTTCGTCACTTTGCGCATTTCCCTTGCCTGCCTGTCTGCTTGCCGGTCTGTTTGTCTGTCTGTCTGTCTGTCTGTCTGCATGCCACCGTCATGGCTCTCACCTGCTGTGATGATTTCATGTCGACAAACAAACATAAATAGATGTGTGCTCTGTCTTCTCTTACGAGTTCTGTGCAGTGGTTCTGTGCGCCTGTCTGTTGGGGGCTTATGATTGGTGCTGACGTGGATGAGCTCGTTCCTGTTAGGTGTGTGTTCTGGCGTACTGGTGAATGGACGCTGGATCAGCGCTCTTACGGATTTTGCGCCTTTCTCATGAGTGGGTGTGTGAGAGTGAGAGACAGAGAGATGATATATAGATAGGATGGCAGCATGAGAGTGAGAGAGAGAGGAGAGATCAGAAGGTTTTTCCTTGGTGTGCATCGTTTGTCGGTGTGCTGTCTGTAAGAAGCATGATCGCCACGTCAGACATTAAGTAATAAGCATCATTGTCTGTGTGCGGTTGTCGTCGAGCATCTCACAGGCAGACAGACACACAGCATACTGTGTTTCTGTGTGGTATGTGTAGATGACAGAGAGAGACTGTTCTTTTATTGCCAGCTGTCCTCTGTCTGATATTGTGTATTGTGTGTGGGTTTCATGCATTTGTCCTCCCTCCTCTTTGTGGCCATCTTCGTGAGCCTTCAGCAACGTCAGAGTATCAATTCATGTGTGGTGTTAGTGCTTTGGAGTTGCCGTTTGTCGATAGAGATGCGCACAGAGGGAAATAGACAGATACACGCTAGCTGCAGTGTATTGTGATGGTTGCATGTCGACGAGACAGTGACACACATGTAATATACATGAGTGGATTGATTTGTGTGCCTTTAGGTATATTGGGTGCGTCTGGTTTGCTTTCTTTTGATGTGTATCGTGTGTTGGTGTGCTGACTGTTGTGCGCTCATCGATTAACGTACACAATGAGTGTTCGTCCTCACACTCGACCGGTGATCGGCTGAGAGACAGACACCGTCCACACAACACAGCACAAAGGTGGTCAGTATGGCAGCAGACTTGATTACGGTGCGTACAAGTGTATGTGTGTGTTTCTGTGTGTAAGTCTGATCAGACACAGACATTGATAAGGGGGATCTTTGCCATTTGAGCCGACAATGACAGTAAAGAGCAGATGCGCAGTCTGGACGATATGCGCATTCACATACGTCCATCAGCTGGACTGTCAAAACACATATGATACGTAATCACACACAGACACCGGCCGTCAACTTGATAACCTCATCAGGCGACTGACTGACTAATTCGTATACGACATACACTGAATGATACTCGCCCCGAGCAGCCAGAAGAGAATGTGCGAGTCAATGCAGCCCACACACCACACAAAACGCAGCTCAACATTCCCGTCCGGCTGCCGCTCGCTCTGGCTGCCCGGGTTTGTCTAAACCTAAACCCTGTTGAACACTGAGCAGCACCGAATCCAGACGACGACAAACACTAACGACTGAGATTTTAGGGCTTAGGGTTTAGGGGTTTAAGGGTTTAGGGTTTAGGGTTTAGGGTCTAGGGTCTAGGGTTTAGGGTTTAGGGGTTTAGGGCTTAGGGTTTAGGGTTTAGGGTTTAGGGCTTAGGGTTTTAGGGTTTAGGGTTTAGGGTTTAGGGTTTAGGGTTTAGGGCTTAGGGTTTAGGGCTTAGGGTTTAGGGCTTAGGGTTTAGGGTTTAGGGTTTAGGGTTTAGGGTTTAGGGTTTAG